AATAATTTAGTGCTTAATGAGTGCTACCAGTATGTGATAAAAATTTTGGAAATTTTTATTTTTTATTTTTTTTCATAACAATTAAAATATTCCAAATTTTTTTATCACACTGCCAGCACTCATTAAGCACTAAATTATTAACTGTTGATGATCATAGATCTTCGATCCACAGTGATATATTCAACCCAGTCACTTGCTCAGACTGTCGTACCAGCAGTTTTGATTGATGAAAAATTAAAAAAAAAACTTTTTTATCACATACTGGCAGCGCTCATTGAGCACTAAATTATTAACCGTTGATGATCATAGATCTTAGATCCAGAGTGATGTATTTAACCCGGTCACTTGCTCAGACTGTCAAATTAGCAGTTTTGATTGATAAAAAATAAAATAATTTATTTTTTCGAAATTTTTCATCAGATACTGCCAGCACTCATTAAGCACTAAATGCCCTATGCATTGCTTTAGTTCTATTTCGCGTTAATATAGGCGTTTCAGGGAATACACTGCTAGCTTAATTAAAAGCTGGCAGTGTTCTAATTTTTCGCGAAACTATGAGAGCATTAAATTTCAGGTTTTGGCACTAAATTAGCACTAAATTGGCACTAATTGATGCACTTTATTTTAAGCGATTCTGCTCACTTTGCCATGCTAGCTTAACGGACATGACAACGTAGGCCAGCGCGCGTGGTCCTCTAAAGGAAAGGGGAAGGTAGAATAAGAGAGAATAACTACTCAGAACACATGCCGTGGTACAGACGATAGAACGCGCTTAGTGACGCCACGTCACGGCGTAATTGAAGAGACTCTAGTTGTTTAATCACCTCCTCATCGCCTATGATGAGGATCGCGCGCCGCTGTAACCTATCCAAAACATCGAGCAGTACATGGCGGAGCCATCCCAGAGGTGCGAGCAATATTCCACGCAGGACCGCACTTGCGTTTTGTACAACAAGCACAGTTGATAGGGCGTGAAAAAACACCGCACCTTGTTTAGGACTCGAAGTTTGCGTGAAGCTGTTTTGATCACGGTTTCGATGTAGTCGTTTGGATTCAAGTCTGAGCGAACTTCCATACCGAGCATGGTAATGCTGCTCTGTAGCGCGAGCGTTGTGCCCTGAAGAGAGGGAAGGGGAAGGAATGGCGATCTTTTTGCCGTTAAAGCGCAAGCCTGAGTTTTCTTAACATTGAACTCAACCAAGTTCCTTGTACCCCATTCGGAAATGTGGTCCAAAGCTTGGTTGAGTTCAATGACAAGATTCTCCTGTTTCTCCTTGGTTACCGCCTGCCTAGCCGCTGTTTGTCCGAGATCCCCGCATGCACTGTACTATCGTCTGTATAGCAATGAATATTCCCAAGAGGAATTAATTCATTGATATGCAGCAGAAAGAGAGTGGGGGATAGGACGGAGCCCTGGGGAACTCCGGCATTCACTGACATGAACCGCGAGCTGCCACCATCCGTAAGGACGATCCGTAAGGAGAAGGAGATATGCGTCAAGTACGCTAGAAGAGCACCCGTCGATTGTTTCGGTCTATAACTATATTGACGATCATTAATCAGGGAGTGATCCTCTAGGTAGCGAGTCATGGTTGTTGAGGACCTTTTCTAGAACTTTACATAATACTGAGGTGACTGCTATTGGCCGGTAGTTTGCCGGGTCTGACCGATCCCCTTTTTGGGTACCCGTTGCACGTTAGCATCTCTCCAAGTCTCCGGCACACGCCCCAAAGAATACGAGCATTGGTGCGTGAGCACGGGAGATAACTCCGCTACACATTTTTTCAGTACTACTGCTGGAATGCCATCAGGTCCACTGGCTTTCCGGACGTCGAGTGATTGCAATTTGGCTCGAACCTCACGCTGCTTGATTTTGATAGCAGGCATCGTTGTGCCACAATCAGGTAATGATGGTGGCAGTGCATTGCATTCATCGATTCGGGAGTTAGCCGCTAAGAGTTTTGCCAGTAAATCGGCTTTCTCCTGCGGCTTATAAGATAGTATTTCCGTCTGGGCATCTCAGAGGTGGCAGCGAAGGCTGGCAGAAGTTCTTTTACACGGCCTTGGCCAATCGCCAAAAGCTTCGGGAGCTCATAGGATGCGTTATAAGTTCGTGACCAACACGTGCCGTTGCACGCTGGGCATCCGCTCTGATGTAAGCCTTGGAAGCAATATTGTAGGCTGCTTTTAGTGAATCGATCCCGGGATCCTTAAGAGTAGGCCTCTGATCCAAGCACGATATGCCGGTTGCTTACGCGAAGCAGCTTCAGCACAGTCGTAATTGAACCAGAGGTTACGTGTGCCCTTACTGATGAGATTGGAATGAGGAATATAGTATTTTAATACCCATTACAATTTCCTCAGTAATAGCAACGGCGCTGGCTGATAGGTCCTTGTCACGGAAGCAGCGCTGCTTCCAAGGGACGGACCCAAAGTAGTCACGCATACCGTCCCAACCTGCCGACCCATAGTGCCAGATCCGTCGTTTTACCACTGTTGGACGTGGAGGCTTGCAGGCAGTGATCCGAAGAGCCCAGAGGGGCTCCTAGCACAACCTGATTGCCCTGCGGATGGGTCGTAAGCAGAAGGTCCAGTAATGAAGGCGCTTGACTTGAAATATCTGGAATCCTGGTGGGCTAATCGACCAGTTGCTTCAAGTCATGCGTGAGAGCGAATGTGTGAGCAGAGATCCCAGCATGGTCAATTTTCGAGGAACTTAACCACAAATTGTGGTGAGCATTAAAGTCTCCAAAAACACCAATTCTGCATTGGGAAGTTGCTCCTGTGCGTCATCTGCTGCCCGACTAAGATGTTCGAAAAGTCGAGTTGTCTCAACTTCGCCACAATGGTATATCTAGAGGCACACGTAGACTCTGGCCTGGGGACCAGAGTTGACGTGTACCCCCGACATGGAGAAGGAGGGATCTTCCAAGCAGCGGAGACGGCGACAACAAACATCCGCCCGAACATGGCAAACACCGGTTTTCGGTTTGAAGGACTTTTCAAGCATGTAGCCGGGTTAGTTAAGGTAGCCTGTGTCCGCAGGCGGAAGTATTTGTGTCTCCGTCAGGAACAACAATGCTGGCCTTGCTCTCTCAAGATGGTGGAGGAGAGCATTGAGGTTAAATAATTTGCAGTCCGCGTATGTTGCAGAACTCCATCTCAAACAGCGATGAAGGCGTGGGGGTGTGCATCGCTGTACGTCCTAACTTTGTTTTAGAGGCTGCTATGGTGGAAGTGAAAAAAAGAGACGCGAAAACGAGCGGACGTTGTCGCGAAGAGTCCGGGCAAATAAGGGAGGTTTGTTTTCCCGATTGACTGTCTGCAGAGGAGATGCGCCGACCCACCGGACGGAAGGGCCCCCGCACCCCCCCGGGAGTTTCACCATGCGCACGGTGGTAACAAACCAGGCGAGTGTTAGGTACACTACCATCAGAAGAGCGGATTGAAGCTCCGATCCCTTAGTCGCTTCTTACGACACCCACGGGAAGAGAAGGGGCGGTGAGTTGTATTCTTTTTCCGTCACCGCACGGATAAAAATATATTATTATCCGTGCGGTTAATTATAATACTGTATAGTTTAAACAGTACTCTTAGCACGAACCAATATCGAAATCGAATAGTTTGGGAGTCCGAAATGTCATTGCCAAACTTAGTATGGAAACATGAACTGCAGTGCCATAATAGACGTAACAAGGACTAAAAATCGGTACACATTTGACAATGACATTTCATACTCGCAAACGTAACGAATTCGATATTGGTTCGTGCTAAGAGAAGATATTAAATTCTTTTTATCTCGTTTTACAACCGGGTTGAACGCCGCTCGACCCATTTATAAAATAAGATTGAGCGTATACTTTATAAATCTTTCATAAGATGATCGCGTAGTCAAAATCAATATAAGGCATTATTTAAATATTAAAAGTAACTTTTAATACATACTGTATAAGGTCTTAAATAAAACGCATGCGTCAAGGACAGTTCGAAATGCAAGCTCGTAAAATTTTACGACTTCTTTTTTTATATGCGGAAGAATTTAGACCTGAGTTCTTTGACTCTAGGTGCAATTCTGAACGCAATATAGCAGGTTCAGACCGCGAGGAAAAGTGACGGCTATATGGCGACGTATAACCGACCATACATTTGAATATATAAATAATTAATATTAAATCAGTTTATAGTAAGTATTGGATCAAAATTTACTTCAAATGCGTTATATTAACAAACAATGACTAGATACCTATCGAAAAAACGACACTTTTCGTACTCTAAGTATAATTTTCGCATTTTTACGCGGAGCTCTGTGGCATCTTGACTTTGTAACGGTCCGCGCGTGACTGTGAACCAAAAAGTGCTTGAGTGGAGTTCAAGCACTTCTTGATTGGGACACATTTTGAGCACTCGTGATGTATTTAGGGTAGGTATATAATATCGTTGAATTTAAATCTCAGATCAAGAACACTCTTATGAATAAGGGCTATTATAAAGTTGATGATTATTTATATGATAGTAATGTATGGACATAGTGTTTCTTGTAATTTATTATTTGATGGGTATTAGTCATTTTTCATAACAGTAATATGGTACCTACCTACTGCCGCTTCTTATATACTAAATAAAATGTTAAATATTAAATTTATTGTAACTATATATTTATATTCTAAATGATGTAATGGGAGGTGACTTCAGACGTATCTCTGAAGTCATTTTTCAACTTGACGACTCTACATACAGGGAGAAAAAAACAGCCCTTGCTGAGTTTCTTGCCGGTTCTTCTCGGTACAAAGTCACCCGTCGTAGTTTTGTGAACCGATGGCGTAGCTTCTTGACCTTTACAAGTGCTTGTAACAGCCTAGACTGAATAAATTACTTTTCATTTCATTTTATAGCGAAGGGTGCGGGTTCGAATCCCGTCTGCTGCCTGGTCCGCGTGGATTTTTTTCTAGGAAACTTTCCTTAAATTTTTCTTTTGTATTAAATAGAAATTACTTTCTTACCTTGATAAGTCCAATAGATGAATCGGCGCGTTCCAAGCTACAAATGCTGAACTGGATCGAGGGTAGGTCCAGACGGTGGGAGAGCTGCCTCTGGAATGTCTGGTGGCGGTCTGGTACAATCGGAAGGGTCGTCTGCCGTAGAACCTACGAAAAGGAACAAGCGAATGAACCATCTGACCAATTCTGCTGGGGCACAGGTCTCTATGTATGAAATAGAGAGATTGGGCCATAATCCACAACTCGAACCTAGTGTTGATTGGTGGGTGCTAACAACTGCTGATGCAGCCGGGGACGAACGGCTTATCGTGCCTTGCGAAACACAAAAGAGCTCGAGATGGTATATTTTTGGTGACCCATGCGATGCCCGACCATTGCGAAGGATCTTTTTCTTCCGTGATCACAGACTGAACGCGTTAACCACTAGTGCCGTCAAGCTAGTCGAGATAAGTACCACGCGAAATTTTCTGCGAAAGAATATTATTTTATTGCCTTAATAATTGACTAATCTCACCTTAAGAAATAGCTATGCAAATGGAATTACAACTCAAAGCGTGACCAGACACAGAAATAAAGGAATCGGTTTCCACGCGTGGGTCGAATACAGGATGTATTGTGGAACGCGCGTACACGCGTGGAAACCGATTCCTTTAGACTTAACTTGGACCGAGCCGGGTCAGACACGGATTTAAAACTTCACGAATATAGGTATAAAGCAGTTCAAAATACGCCGTGTACGTTCAACGTACAGCAAACGCTGGCGTCTTAGAATATATATATATTTTTAACAATTTTAGTAGTCATAAATTAATTCAATAAACAAAACATCTTTATACCACCTTATTAATAAACGAAGAATAAGCTAGGCTTGGCTTTTTTTTTAAAACTCAAGATACCAACTTAGAGGTTACAGAAGGTTCATAAATCATTTATGGGTCAAAGTGTTCTATAATAAGATTCCTAATGATATTCTTGATTTGCCTCTTCATAAATTTAAAATACACATTAAGAATTGCTTACTTAGGAAAGCATGTTATAATACTGAAAAACAATATTTGAACGATAAAACGGCCTGGTTGTAATTTTACTTGTAGATAATTTTACAAAAGTTAAATCAAAACTGGGGATCTTAAAAACAATTGAAGAGAACCTTGCACTTACTCCCTTTCATATTCTTGTTCAATTTGTTTTGAAGATTGTTTTGTGCTATTTCGGGACTTTTCTTATTGTTACTAAATTCGTTAATTTTTATTGTTACCTATTTGACATTATGTGATGGAAGTTGACCTGACTACACTGTATCACTGTATAAAACAGAGAGAAAAATGCAGCGCTTGCTGAGTTTCCTTCCGGTTCTTCTCAGTACAAAGTCTCCCGCCGTAGTTTTACGAACCGATGGCGTAGTTTTCGAGTTTCACACGTGCATGTAAAACCTTAACTTAACTGAATAAATGATTTTTGAATTGAATTGAATTAAAACTACTTTATTTTTAAGCAATCGGGTTTTTTATTGTTTAAATTTACCTTTTTTTTCAAACTTAATGAAGGTTTGGTCTTACTTTGGTTACTTTTCTTATATTTGTACCATATAAATCATAACATAAACGTATATTTAAAAAATTTAACTATATTTTTGCGGTCTTAACACTGCCGCCCTACCTTTGAAATGACGAAATAAAAGTGATACATCTATCTCTTTCAAAACAATATCAAGCTTATTTATGAAATCAGAAAGTAAGACATCTATCCAATATAGGGAATATATTTGGAAGGCCTGTGCCCCAGCAGTGGGGACATTAATAGTCTGATGATGCTAATGAAGACATCTATATAAATTATTATTCTATGGCTGACGTTAAATTGTGACAACAGTTTGTTCGATCCATTTACAACGAAATTAAACTCTACAGCACGAAAACTCGTCGTCAAACAGCATTACAAACTTAAATTAAGATCCCAGGCTCTAGAATTAGTGCTAGCTAGACCCAGTAAGATGTAATATAACTTTTCATCCTTTAATCCGAAGACTATCCGTTTACATTATCTCGAAATAAAGGGACAAACGGTGAACAAATATTGATCTCCTTCGCAGACTATTTACTATCTTTAATTGTATTTCGCTTCTGGTCGGCTTTTAGGTCTAGACGATTAAATAAGAACGATTGAAAACAACAGCAGGGTCTCCAAATAGATCGAGACTGTTGACACCTATACACCATATTATTTTCAAATTATACCGCAGATTCCGCGGTGAAAAGTGAGTTTGTTATTACAAAATAGCATTGCTGGTAATATCACCAAACCGTTTGGGTGAAATAAACTATTGCTCCGTAATAAATAGGTAAAAGCAAGAGCAAATTAAAACAAATCTAACGCGAGAAATAACCCTAAAAGTTGTTTACGAACAACTCAAATAGCATTTAGCTACAGTACTTCGATAAAAAGCCGCCCGCTCTAAATCTCTGTAAATTAAACCTAAACTAAGTGTATACCTAGTATTTAAGCGTTCACTTGGGTCTTACAGAAACAGAACGATGTGTTAGTTATAATAGATGTGGCACAACACAAAGCAACATACAACATAGATAGTGTATTTTTCGATAAATTGTAACTATTGTGTTGTTACAATTTGATATTGTGTGTTGTTGTATATTGTGTTGTTTAACTGTTTTGTATTGTGTTGTGAGGGATATTACCTCCACTTTACTAAACAATATAGTGAAAAACCTACAGCCCATGGTGGAGGATAGGTATTTATTAAAAATAAGTTTCCAGAGTTCCACGTTGTAGAGTAGGGTATTTAGTTTAGAGTGGTGATAATAGTTGGACGAACTCAATTTTCAACCACCTCAGATATCTTTGCCAAACACCATTAACACTTAACATCAGGTGCAGTGTGGACAGTGGCAGTGGCAGTGTGGTATTGCTGCGTATCATTTACAAAAAGTAGCAATATAATTTGCGAAAGTTTCAGAATTAGAATTCTGTTACTACACGGATGGTACTCGTAGGACGCTTGCTAACGACCGATTTTCCGCCGGGCTTGGGCACGATTTTTACCCGGGCTGGTGCCGGCTAACGTTACGTTAACGCCGGGTAACTTGTTCACGAGCACGGTTTGTGCGTTTTTACCGACCGACCCCAAACCGTCGCTAGCACCGGTGTCCTTAACAAACCTTTATAGTGTCCCATACTTAACTGACGACCGAGCTTAGAAACACGCTAAAAACCGTACTTAGACCCAGGTAAAAATCGTTTTGTTAATGTCACTTCTAGGCTAGCACTATACAGCATTGGTTTTATAAGAGGAACTTAGATCATTTTCCTTATTAAACCTCCGCCTTGGGGCCGAGGCATATCTTAAGCTCTATCTTGAGTTATTAGAGAAAGTCTCTCTCTCATACTTTCGTGGAACATATTTTTATTGTTATCGCGAAGCTAGATTTCTTCTTTGCAAAACTGAACGCTAAGGATTTGCAATGCATTGGCATTCACAATTCCCAAACAAATTCTATTGATAATAGATTGGGACTATTGAAATAAGGTTTGTCTTTCGTCCTTTTTCTACATATATTTTTTCCTGTAATAGCATTACTGGGAGTGAAACAATTTATTTAGTAACGTAAGATAAATCGAATAATTAAGATAAATTGTTTTGAAATATACTTTTTTGCAATATAGTTATTTTAAACATGGAAAATAAACACGATGATAAAGCAAATTAAAATAATTATAATAGTAGACCTTCAGCGTAAATATAGAAAATGTACTTTAGTAGTCACTGTGTTTGTAGTAAGACGATTTTAATAATATATATTTATAGTTTAATATTTTGCTGTGTAAAAATATTCTTATACACTTAATGCGTTTATTTCACATAGTATAGCACAACATATTATGTTACCATGATAATTTATTGTATAATCACCGTATACATAAACACAATCACACTAATATTATAAAGGCGAAAACTGTTGTGAGTGTGTATTTTACTTCTTCACGTCTAAGCGGCTCGAGTGATTTTAATAAAATTTGGTATGGAGTTAGCTGATACCCTGGACTCGGTAATATTATCTATTATTACCGTGTATGTATATATACAGTATTGTGACTCCGCCCTGTCCTTGAAAATAAATGCCTACACCGAACGCTGCGTTGGCACGCGGTAGGGCCGCCAGCCTACAGTATTTTATGTAGTTTTGTTTTTAACGCGAGTGTAGGTAGATTACTCGTTTGTCTCTTTTTTCATCCTAACCACTTATTTATATATTATTTCAGATATTTTGCCCGATGGAAAAACCGAAATACCTAAATATTAGAAACAAATAACGCACTAGTAGATAGGTATATAAAAAAAATATTCTATAAAGGTAAGACACCTTTCCAATATTTCAGGTAATTTAAAAAATGATATCTCTGGGTGTGTTATTGAAGAGTTCAAGCAACCAAAAACAGCAATTGTGCTGTTGTACGATATTGATCGTCGTTTGTTCTTTTCCATACTAAATTATGTAGGTATCTACTTAATGAAATCAAATATTTACAATACAAAACGCATGTTTAAGCACGGCTAACTGCAAAAAAACAATTCAGACCGTTCGGTCGTCGTTACGGCGCGGTGGCGCATTCGCGACTGGGTGCACGCCGAGTGCACATCGAACTCGAGTGGCGTAGGTATGACTCGCTTTCCGACCGTTTGTATGAAGATAGAATACTGTATGATATTATTACCGTGCCCTGGATTAACACAAAGGCTAAGTTTTACTGCAGGAAAATATCCCTAAAAAACTGCGGGTAACAACGCGGCGGCATATTTAAATAAATCCCACATCAAACTATTACAAAATAAAAATATTTTTTTCAGATTTGTCCGCAAAATAGCCAATAAAATAACTAACCCGAGTGCCGTATCAGAGGTTCGTTAACACACAACTTTATCCACAAATATTTAGTAGTCGTAAAAGTGTCTGGTGAAATCTTTTACGTACCGCAGGAGTCGGGGCATAAAGAAAATTGGCAACCGTGAAAACTTTACTCTCGCTCTCTCACCGTGTAATAGATATATTCACTCATAATGATTTGAGAACTTGTCTCTGTGTTTTACTAGTTATAAGCTCTATGAAATGGGTGTAATGTACAAATGAAGA